CCTAACTACAGTGCCTGGATTTTGCAATATATTTAGTGAACCTAGCTACAACTGTTTGGTCCAGGCCAACATTTATGCCAGTGATTCTCAACCAAGGTTTCAGGGCACCCAGAGGCAGGGGCGACACATAGGGGTTGCACGCGGGTGCACATGCACCCCCTGAGCATGGTGGTGTACTCCCTATAAAAAGGCACTGTGCCTGTGGGCAGTTGCCACTTGCCACTTCCCCCTGCTCAGCTGCAGACGCCTCCAGCAGCATCTGCAGATGGTCACTCACCCCTGGTCAGCGCTTGCCACCCCCTCCCACCACCAACAGCACTAGCAGCATCTGTGGGAGCTCCTGCTTACCGCCGCTATACTCCTGCCACCGATGCCGCCCTCCCCCCACAAGCATGCCCCCTCAGCCGCTGGGGGCACATATCGTTCATGCCCAGAGGCACAATAGAGTGACCTAGGGTGCTGCAGGGGGTTATTCAATGTTAGCTTGGTTAGGTGTACAAACATGGTTCACAAGATAAGCCCAGAGATTTCAAACAGGGATCCACAGTGTTACAAACATTCTGTCCTGTTGTGGTCTTTGAGAGTTCTTTTCAACAGAAAAATTGCTCTATTATATTTTTGTAGTAAAAATGAAGGAAAACCAAGATCTGGCATTTTCTGAGGGATGTGTTAAGTGTAAAAGGTTGAGAATCACTGATTTTAGGACATCCTCTGGGGTGACATTAGTTGCCCCAGAGTATGTGTAGTTAAATGCAGGAGCTAGAAAAGAACTGAGGGCGTGTCTACATGTTCATTAATACACTTTAGGTAATGTGCATTAAATCTAGTACCTCCACTGTGAAGTTCTAGAAAGAAGTGCATTAGCCAATTTAAATGCACATTAGTGACAGGGCATGTGTTTTTGTGATGCTTTAATGCACATTAAAATAGGCTAATTCACATTAAAGCACAGGTATAGATGCACCATAGGTCTGCTTTTGCTCAGCAGCCTCCTAAAGAATATGGTTTATCTATACTATTACGCACACTGCGTGCTGTCTCCGTTAGTAAGTATGAAGTCTCACTGCGATAGATGAAATTGTTGAGAGAGGGCCCGTATGTACTTGGGATCAGAAGCAGAAGCAATGGAAGCCCCGTGTTCGCCAACTGGAAGTTATTGGCTGTGTCCATAGTGTTCATCCCCCAGCATGCAAGCTTTTTTACCTGTGTTTGTTGCTACATCATACTCATTCAAAAGGAAAAATGAGTTTTGCAGAGCTGAAAAATGTACATGGGATTCAGCACAGCACGTACCAAGAGGCTTGCCAAGCACTGGGAATTCTACAGGATGACAATGAAAGGGATGGTGTTTTATCAGGCGCTGCACTTACACACATGCGCAGTCAGATAAGGGAGCTGTATGTCACAATGCTCCTCTTTTCAACACATCAACCCCAGCAAGACTCCTTGAACGTCACATTGATGTGATGGTTGATGACTTTGAGCTGTGTACAAAACCAGCTTCACTGTCTAGGGTTGTTCTTCATGCTATGGTTGTTTTTGATATTGAGAAAAGTTTAAGCAACCACGGCAAAAACTTGAAGGACTATCACCTCCCATCGATAGGCCGTGATCTCAGACAGCAAGCTTGCTCGTTCTTGGAAGACATCCCCACTCAACGGCTATCAAATGCATTAGTAGAGGAGCTGTACTATAACTGGCAGGAGCAACACCAAATTGCTCAAGATTCACTGCCATGTATGCTTCCAGCTCAGCAACAAACGGTGGATGCAATCTTGAAAGCAGTGGAGAATCAAGAGCCACTTTGTGCATTTGTTGATGCACCTGGTGGTACAGGAAAACCATTCTGCTTCAACATGATTCTTTCAGCAGTGCACGGGGCAGGGAACATTGCATTGACTGTGGCATCCAGCGGAATTGCTGCTACCATGCTTACGGGAGGCAGGACTGTGCACTCAAGGTTCCAGGTACCTCTGAATGTGTTGAAAACCAGCACCTGCAGTATATCAGCACAGCCTGACCTTGCTGAGCTGATTCGAGAAGCAGCTATCATCATCTGGGATGAAGCACCAATGGCTCATCAGTACATGCTAGAGGCTGTAGAACGGACACTGCAAGATTTACTGCAGAGCAATTTACATTTTGGTGGCAAAGTGATAGTGCTTGGGGGTGCTTTTTGGCATATCCTGCCTGTTGTGAAAAATGCTTCATGGCCACAAATAGTAGAGGCATGCTTGACGTGATCAGAGTTGTGGAACCACTTCCAACTTCATGAGAACATGTGAATACGTAAGGGAGGTTTTGATGTACAAAGTGCAAAGTACTTGGATTTTGGATCTGGAAAATGGTCAAGTTCCAAATACTGACGAAATCATTACCCTGCCTCCTGGGAGCTGCATGCCTCTGGATCTCTCAGCAATGATAGAATGGACATTTCCAAATCTATTGCATAATTATAAAAATCCAGGATGGACATCTGAAAGAGGTATTTTGGTGTCACATTACTCCACTATACAGGAGATCAACAATGCTATTGTGGCAAAATTCCGAGGCCAAGAATGGATTCATACAAGTGCAGGTGCTCTTTTACAGGATGAAAGTGTTATGGCTGTGCCAATTGAGTACTTGAATTCCATGGAGGTGTTAGATTTGCCTCCACATCAGCTCCACCTTAAGCCTGGGATGCTCATCATGCTTCTGCAAAACCTTGCCCCTAAGGATGGTCTGTGCAATGAAACACGGCTATTGGTGCAATCTGTCATCAACAGCAGACTACATGAGGCACATTTTTTTTGGATCAGAAAGAACAGTACTAATTCCTTAGATAGCACTGAAGTTGTCTGACAACATTTCCATTGACATGGACATGTCAACAGTTCCCTGTGCAGGTGGCATTCAGCATGACCATCAATAAAGTCCAGGGGCAAACATTAAAAAGAGTAGGAGCATTCCTTCGGGATCCTGTCTTCACCCATGGACAACTATATGTGGCTGTTTCCAGAATCTCCCACCCAAAACGCATCTGATTTGCAGTGACTGCTGACTTGAGTAACAAAACAAGGAATATTGTGCATATGGAAGTTGTAAAGCTCTTACAGTAAGAAAGTGTGATATGTTTCAGGATTCTGTGTATGCGGAAGTGTTGTGAAGCTGTTGAAGTGCAATAAAATGTGATCTCAAGCAAAAATTGGCTCATTGGATTTTCATGCAAGCAACACTGCACGGGGGATCTAGTATTTTATTATTCCTGAGTCCTGTCTCTGAACTACCACCAGACTCCTTGTATAAAATGTGAGGGTGCAAAGCACTTCAGTATGTTGCTCTTCTAGGAATAATTACAGATGCAGAGGAACTCCATTAGAAATAACAGCCTCCTAAGTTTCCACAGGTTTCAGCACCTCCAACACTTAAAGGCACAGTTCATCATGTATTTGCTTTCATATCGGAGAATGCTAATTGCTCACACTATTGCCCATTCATAAGTGCTCAGCTTTGTGGGAAATAAGAAAACCTTTCACATGTAGTGTTAATTCCTTTGATGATAAAGTTCTGGATCTGCTATATCAGCTCATAAACTTCCCTGTGCCAGGAAGCCTTTATTTAGCATCAAAATTTATCACTGCTAAGCATATAAATAATACATTAGCCACTCTGAGCAGTGATAAAATTAGCAGTGTAAACAGAGAAAGTAAATGACCTTAGTGGAGAACCATTGTTGATTCTGACCCAACACCTACCAGGATGATTAGTCACAGCAGATCAGCACGGTGCAAAAGGGGCCCATGGGGCTTGTTTAGAAATCAGAGACTCTTACTGTTTATTTTATGGAACAGATTTAATTCCCACTGTGAGTTTCTCTATAAGCACCAGGTCATGCCCTCATCTCCATTTCTCTGGACTCCAGAAATCTCAGGAGTAAAACAGTTAGACAACTGAAAGAGAATGTGCAAATAACTCCTGGAAGCTAAACTGATTCCACTTCCAAACTGAACATAGAGGAAAGCCCTTGGCTTTTGTGAGTGTCCAAGGTGAATGTGGGACAGACAGTAGTCACTGGAACAAGAGAATGTGATTCTGTATTGGACTAAAGCACTTGGATTTCCTCTGTATCATTTGAACCCTAGGAAATATCGAGCCTCAGGAGGAGGGTATGAGTTCTCCTTCACTGCTTGTACATGTCTGATTAGTGAGGCATTCACATGAGTGTCCTCGCCACAGGGTCTAAGAACCTGCCACACCTTCTCTGGAAAAATTCTCAGTGAAATCTTAGTTATACGTGGTGTTTGCAATTCATGCCTGTAGAAAGAGCCGGTCCAAGCACTGACTGAAATAGGTTTCAAGACAGATCAGTTGTGTATTAGTTCTGTTCTTGCTCAATGCTTAGAGGTTGTGAGATCTATATGATCTGCCCCTGAATATTCTATACCATATTACAAACATTAGGGCTGCACAAGTAAGCACTCAAAGATCAGGATTCACACATAACCCTAACTCTGACCTGTGTGTTCACATTGTGATGCTAATCACATAACATCTCTCAAATAATATAACATAGGAGTATGCCATTCGCCCCTCCTCCAAATTTAGGATTTACATGGAGTGCGGGGGGGGTGGGGATGAAATTCTATCCCCATTGAAGTCACAGGGAGTTTTTCATTAATTTCTGTTACACTAGAATTTCAGCCTTGTTTAGTCAAAGCACTGGGTACTGCTCTACCGTGCGTCCAAGATAAGCCTGCATATAAATAAAAGACCCCAAAATTGTGATTTGAGGGTGAAAAGACTTTTGTTCTCAACAGAGTGAACATTTAAACTTTCACACAGATTCTTCATGTTGGACAGGCTGTTCAAAGTTGAGCTGCCAAATACCAAAACATAGAAAAATTTATAAGCATCTGTGTCCCTCTCTGTGCATGACTGTGTGACTAGATGAGTGGTGCTTTCTTATTATTTCAGACCCACTCATTTGTTAACTTTTCATTGTTTAAATTATTTTTCAGTCATCACCTTTGAGGATGGACAACCTTCGGCTTCAAATGACTCAAAATACCTACAGGTATGCTGAATGACATGTTAGGTGTTTATTTCTGAGTCAATGGACTTTCTAAGAATGCACTTTTATTACTGGAACGGAAAGGTTTTTAATTATATAAAGGTTACCTCTCCAAAAAGCTGCTTAGGAATTATTAATTTATATTACTGAGTTTAATCAACCTGCTAATTCAAATAATTTGATATGTTATCAGAGATGGTGCAGATTTTAACTAGGTAACTGACAAATAGAATCATAGAACCTACTGTTGCAGTAGATTTTCCATTAGTGGTAATCTGTAAATCACAAAGGGATGCTTTTGAAAAAGATATGCTTTCATTCAAAGCAGAACTAACTCAAAGCAGTCCCATGGCCTGTATGGGTGCCTATACATGAACAGAGGGGCTGCTCCAATATGCTGTAAGATTAATTGAGTCTGCTGGAGCATGGTAATTATCACACTCCAACAGACTCAAGCATCACATGTATCAACGTCCCCACACTGAAAAATGGTGGTGGGGATGCTTTAACTAAAGCTTATTCAGATGGGTAGGCAGGATGGGAGTGCTATGGAGAGGTATGGCAGAATTTTGGGCAAATCCCTCTTTCAATATAGAGTTAGCCCAGGCTCAAAGTTCTTAACTATATACAATTTATTGAGTTGCAAACATTTATATATAAAACTCTGTAAAATAGATACAGGTACAGGTATAGATACAAATCTACATATAAAGAGCTGTTAGCAAAAGGAAGTCTGCCCCAGGGAGGGCACTCAGGTAAGTACCCATGCCTCAGAGCCCAGAAGTGGGGTGGATCCTGGGACTGTCAATCCAGCAAGTTTATACCACAAGTGGGTTACCTAATAAAGCCATCCTTACGGAGCCCATTATACAGAATTAATACAACCAACTATTTATAACACCAACAATAGCAATAGATACCAAATGGGAAGCATAACTGTACCAGATATTAGATGCACCCTATCTGAGTTCCAACAACTTTGTCCCTCAAATGGGATAGGGTCTTCTCCTCCTAGACCTCCTGGATGTTCCACAGAACCCTCCCTAGTGTATATTTGAGGTATCCTCCCCTCCTACCCTGGAGCGTGGAGGAGGTATGGCGCCTTTCCCCTGCCCACTCCTCCCAGGGTCCCTTGCCCGGGGGCACCTCCCCTGTGGGACCCGGGTTCCTGGTAACTCATGGTCCTTCCACTGGGGGCTGTTGATCTGGCCTCTGGGTCCCTGCACCATCTCAGACCTCCTGGAGCCATCGGCTTTGAGTTAGAGGTCTTTCCCTCTGGGCCCTCTGCCCTGCGCTGGGCACCCAGAGAGCTCTTATGGGAGCCGAGCCCTCAGTGGCTCTGGTTCCTGAGCCTCATGCTGAGGGTCTTTCCCCTTCCCGGGCCCTGCTCTGGGCACCTGGGCTCTTTTAGTTTAATGCTGAGCCACACTGTGGGGCTCCGATTACCTGGCCTAGAGCCAGGGCTAACTTGAACAGCTTTGAGCTGCTCTCAGGGTCGACTCTCTGTGCACTGACTTGCGCACTGTGTGGGGCCCGAGCAGCTTCAAGCTGCTTTTAGGGTCAGCTGTCTGTGTGCTGATCTATGCATCGCCCCACGCAGCCACTTGCTGGGTTTGCAGGCTCAAGCCACTTCGAGCAGCTCCCAGAGCCTGAGCACCGTGTCCCGATCCGCGCACCATTGAGGCTTAGGCAGGGTCCCAATGACAGTCTTCTCCAGAGCTCCTCTCTCCTCGCCATTCCTTGCCACATCTGCCCAGTTGGCTGGGCTTTTATTTACACTGGAGATCCTGCCCCAAAGTCCACCAGACCTGTAAAGCACATTCTTCAATCAGGTCCAGGGGCTTCTCATCTCCCTTCCTCCCCACCCCCCCGCAAGCAGGGGTGGGGCAAGCTGCTCCCAACACTATTTCCCATTCATAAGTGCTCAGCTTTGTGGGAAATAAGAAAACCTTTCACATGTAGTGTTAATTACTTTAATGATAAAGTTCTGGATCTGCCATGTCAGCTCTTAAACTACACTGTGCCAACATGTAGGCTGAATCTTCCTTCCTCACACATAACAGCTATTCTATATGCTCACTATTTCTCACTTCCAGAGGCTTATAGCTTGGTCACATAACACTTGTTTCTCCCCAGAACGGCACCAAGGGGGACACTTAGGATGCTGCATGCTTCCTGACTCTATGACCTTAGAATTTGCCACAGAACTCACCCTGGCCCAAAACTGCACCACAAACCAATTTTTATTTCAAATAATATTTCCAGGCTTTTATAGTGGCAATGTGCATGCTACAAATAGGAATTAAATATAACTGATGTAGTGACAACTGTTTGAGTCAGCCTGAATCATCGGGATGATGACTGAAATCTAATGACACAAACAAGCATCCTAGCAAAGGTGCTCATAACACAGACTTGCCCTGCTCCTGATGCACAGTGCTAGTTCTTCTCCCTTCTGTCTCCTCCCCATGGCTTTTGCTTCTAAGTTTCCTTTCCCCATTCCTCATGTTATAGCTGACTTTTTGCTGCCTCCAAGCCTGTGGGCTATCTATCACCCACTGGCTGTTAGGATTATCTTTAGAAAGGAGCTTCCCCTGCCACAATGCTTTTCCCTTTTGTAGACACTGATTTTCTATTGCTGGTCCCAGTTTTTTCTTCTGCCACCTCTACTGGGGAACAAGCCATCATGTCACGCAGAACAATAATTTGTCATCACTAGAAAATTTCTAGGGCCTAGACAGACCTTCCCAGAGGCTCCCCACTCCAACATGCAGCTCAGCTTATTTGTATAAGGATTGGCCTGACATCGGCCACTTGCCTTAATTCTCCTATAGCTGCCTGGAAAGTATAGTCGGTGAAGATTGGTGGCTTAATTACAAGCACATGCTGGCCAAAACCTACACACAGCCTGATGATTAGAGTTGTCTCAGGAAATGTAAGCAAACTCTGACGCGTGTATATGCCACGTTAGTTTTCCTGTTTTGCTGCTGATTGGCATGTTTAATCCAAACTAAACAATACCTAGTCTGTAGAATCCAGAGTGCTTTCCCAGTTGCAACTGCCAGGTGCTGGCAAGCATAATAGATAAGCAGGTTGCAATGTTCTAACACAGCCTGACATGATCTGCAGCAGTCTTGTGGGGAAATCAAACTATTTTCCCTCTGTGCTTCTCTATTTCCTGTTCACTTTGTGTTGTCATGCCTATCATGGAGACTCTGAACGGGCAAGGATAAGAGCTAGACCCTGAAGTTCTTGGCTACAGTCTGGAAATCCTTGTCCATAACATGCTCGACCAGGGCTCTCAATTTAGAGTTCTCTTGAATGTCTATTCTACATTTGATCTTCTTTTGAAGACTTAAAAGATGGGCCAAATATTGTTGCCAGGGCAGAAGTCGGTTTAAATTTGTCTTTCTTCAGCTTTTCACCTGTCTCTTCAACAGTCACCAGGCCCATGAAGCCTTGCCATTTTTGAGAGAAGGGAGCAGTGTCTACAGGAGGTGTCATATTTGTTGGTATGGTGAGCTGTAGCTCAGCTCAGTATAATGTAACTAAATGGGGCAAGGCATAGGCAGATTAATGGACAGGCCAGCTGGGCCCAGGCCCAAGGGCCACTACCGATTCAGGGTCCCCAGGATCCTCATCAGCAGGGAAGTGAGAGCCACAGTTTTAAACGTGGTGCTGTTTTTTGTCTCCCAGCAGAGACACAAAAATGGCTCCAGTTTAAAACTGAAGCTTTTGCATTTGCTTCCCTGAGAGCTGGAAGCAAGACCCCTCTACCAATGGGGCGGG